CCTGTCGGCAGGGCTGAGGGATGGGCAGTGAAAGAGCAGGACAGGACTCCAGCAACCATGATCTGTGCAGTGGTGACAGCTGTGGGTGATGGATAGGTCTGCACAGGGAGAGCGGTCGAGGTTTGCTACTCTGATGAGAAAATCATCGAGTGGCTGCAGGGCACACCAGGCAAATTGCAAAAGAAGAGAGCAGCCAGGCCATACTCTCAGCCTTTCATCATCCCCAGAGCAGCACGGTGATAGCTGTGCCCGGCCAGGGAGCAAACTCTGGCTGCACCCATGGCAGGATTTATGTTGGCTGTGGTGAAAAGGCTTCACCTCTCCAGGATCATGCAGCAAAGCAATCAGAAGGGAGTCAAGAACCTCTCAGGGAAACAGTGGGGGATCTGCTGCCTCTGGCTACAGGTTTTCATGAGAGTGCAGTGAGAAAACGCTGAGGTGGTGACAGAGCAGGGTTGCACATCCCTCCCTACTTTCCTGTCCCTACACCCTGCAGCGATAATGCCGTCCTCGGGATCTCGTTGCACGGGTACCACCAATTACCCAGGCCACCAAGCCAAGGGCATCCGCAGCCACGCTGCCACACACACCTTGCAGGCCCCAGGGCTCACAAGGTGCACAGCACCCTCCCAAATCCAGAGAGACCCCGAAGGCTGGGACATCTCGCCATCCCCCATCCGTTGCTGCCCACTCAGGCGTGCACAGGCAAGGAGAGGAGGAGGGGTGAGTGGGTCCTGCCTACATGCTCGCAGCCCGCTGCAGGGCTCAATAATTCAGGCCTGACACATTAAATTTACATGGCGTGCAACCGCCGTCTGCAGCGACAAACTGCGTCAGGGCTGCTGTCTGGTGAGTCTGGCCCATCAGACTTGGGAGGGCAAGGGGGGCAGGTGGTGGGCAATGAGCAGAGCATCCCTGCAGTGGGAGTTAGGGGGCAGAGGAGGTTATGGGGGCAGACACGGTCCTGGCTTTTGGGACACCCACTTCCAGGGACTGTTTGTCAGAGCAGAGAATGCTGGCCCAATGACAGTGACAACCCAGCAGGTAGGATGGGTCTAGGATACAGGAAGCTGAGCGGTGGTGATGCTGTCCCCAGAGGCTTCCCCTTTTCCTGAATCACCTGTGTTCCCTGCAGCCTCCCTGGCAGGACAGAGGCCACAAAGGCTTTTGCTACCCAGGGGACCTGGCCAAAGTCCTTCCCAGCTGTGTTTGTACCTATGTCCCTGCAGCCACTTAGCATGGCTCGAACCCCTCCATCCCTTCCCAGCACCGAGGAAGCGAAGCTCTTCACCGGCTGTCCGGGGAGTCGGTTGTCATGGGGATGTCAGATATACCTGGTTGTTATAGGGACACTGTTGCCATGGTTATGTGGTTGCAGGAATGGAGCATCAGTAAGGCTGTTTTCACTGGGTCGGAGGAAAGTCACAGATATCACAGCTCTCTGAGCAGGAAGGGAAGGCAGAGTCTAATCTTCACCCATAGCTTATCCCCAAAGTCCCCATGGCAGCCATGGGGAGTGTACCAACAAAGCTCACTCAGTCCCATAGAGATGAACACGGTTCTCCTGACTCCATGGTAAAGCAGAGATGGCTGAAGGGATGCAAAGTTTCCCATGGGGTGTCCTAGCACACTCCCCTGGTGGAAGACACAGTGCTGCACACCCTCTGCTGAGTATCCCACAGGAGAGAGCAGCTTCACCACGCTTGGTGCCAGGAGCACTGAGCAAAAACCTTTCGGTCCTGCAAAACCGTGTGTCCTGTACTTGCATTGCACCGCATCACTCCTCTGAGGTGTGCCGCCTCCTGGGCAGGGGGATGGGTTTCTGCCCCTCTGGATCAGGGGAGTGTGAAATGGGGTGAGAGACTCCCAGCTCTCAGCAAGCAGTTTACGGACCCCGAGGGGTGAGCTGGGCTGGCAAAGAATGCCTGGATCCCCTCCAGCTCTGCTTGGCTGATCTCCCTCCCCAGCAGCGCGATCGGCTGCTCGGCCTGTCCTTGAGATGAAAAATGCAGTTGCAGTTTTCATTAAAATGAGAGGGAGTGCTGAGCTGCCCTGGCAGCCCAGAGAAATGGACAATAGCAGAGCTGGTTGCACGGCTCCTCCAAGTTTCCCCAGGCAGCTCTGCTGGCTAAAATCCCTGTCCACCTCAGTCAGGACACCTCAGGGGTTCAGACGTGCCTGTGCCACTCCATGATGTCTGCTGTGGGGCAAGCTGAGGGCTGAGCAACTCCTTGCAAGAGGAACATGCAGCCCACCACATGCTCATTAGGCTCTGTTATTGTAGGGTATACAAAAATTTGGCAAACAGTGGGCTTACGCTTCATCCCTACAGCAGTGGGCCACGAGATGAGGGAGGGTTAAGAATGCTCCACAGAGCACTGATGTCTCCACAAAATTGGGATGCATTTGTGCTGGCCTACCTGCCAAGCTGGTGCAGATGCCAGGGTAGCATGATCCCCATGCACCAACTCTGGAGTGTTGCTGGTGTAAAAACTAAAGCTCAGCTCATCGTTCTCTGGGGATTGCTTCTGCTGGGGGGATGCAATTAGATTTGGTTAAGTGAGTAACTTTTTAAATTAAAAAATTAATCCTTAATCAGCTTCCTGGCTGGAACAGACAGAGAATTTTGTATGGCAGAGATAAGGCTCAAGGGTAAGCTCTCGAGGGTAGGAGGGTGCTCCCCTAGCTCCCTTGCACTGTGACTGGGGCTCCTGCTCAGCACACCTCCATGTCAGCCTGGCTTCCCATGGCCATCACACCCCACAAAGCCCAGAAACATGAGCAGCAAAGCCCTGAACCCACTGCTGCCACCATAGACCTCGCCAGCTCACTCTTCCTTCTGCTTTGCTCACCCAATTTCTGCCATCCCCTCCAGCCACCCCCACAGCCCTCTGAGCCCACCTTGCTCTGGCCAGCTGGGGCCCAGCTCCCAAGCAGCAGGTTTAATTAGATTGCAATCCTATTACATAGCTGCCTGCCCATCCGCGGTTGCTAATCCTGTTAAGCATCCAGTAAATCTCCCTGTGCCGGGCTCTGTCCCTAGGAAACAGGAAGGGGGGCTGCTGGTGAGTGGGCTCTGCTGAGACAGGAGGAAGGTGACAGGTTTCACCCCTGAAGACCCGTGCGGGGCTCATTGAGAAGGGTCTAGGGGGTTGGAGCAGTCACCAAAGTGGGTGAGAAGGGGCAGTGGGGTTTCCTCTCTCCTCTCTGGTCCTTCTTGCCTGCTCTGAGCTGCAGGAACAATGTGGAAATGCCCTGTCCTTGAGGCACACACACATCCTGGGTGTTTGCCACCACACCACAGTCATTACTGGATCCAGTGGGTGCTAAGCCCAAAGGTCTGTGGGGCAGGTTGAGGAACGGGTGGTGAGACAGGGCTGTCCCAAACAGAGGAGGGATAACACTCCATGCAATGCCTGATGCTCAGTGCCCTGCAGAGACAGGGCAGCTTCTCATGGCTGGTGGCAATAACAGTGCTCCACTGCTCCTGGGTGAGTGCACCCACCCGTGGGGCACAGAAGTGGCCTGCTCTGGGCAAAGGAGTGACACTAACGGGCTCCTGGGGTTGTGGCCTTTGCATGAAGTGCATCACCATGGCACCCAGCATCGGCATGGCTCCACAGCAGCAGCTACCCCCAGGTCTACAGACACCCCTTGGTCCTGCCAGCTTTCAGGGGACACCAGCTGTCCTGGTGCAACACAGCTGCCCATGGGTCAGGCATTACAGCTGTTCTGTGAGAGCACAGTGCCACAGCAAAAACATCCTAGCTCTGCATCCTGCTGTGGGCCAAAAGACTGCAGCCCCAAGACTACCAACTTCTTGCCGGCCACCTTGTTCTATGCTGGAGCTGTATCAGCCCCAGAGCAGCCCACTGCAGAGTAGTACCTCTTGCTGTGGACCCCAGAGTAAGAGCCAGAGACCATTACCGTTCCCCTCTGTGCACCCAGCCACATCCCTCAGACACCTCCACAGCCCAACAAAGAGAGGAGCGTGGCCCCAGCTCAGCCTTGAACTCCCCCAGCTCTGCACCAGACTGAGCCGCAACAAATCCCAGAGAGAAGTTCAACCAGGCTGTAATTGCAAGAACAGGGCAGCACGGGTAGCTGCGTGCCCACCTAGAGGAGTCCTGGCACTCCCGGAGGACATGCGATCAGTGAAGAGAGCAGGTCCCACAGGGCTGCTGTCCATGCTGGAGTAGTCCAGGCTGCCATTGGCATCAGCTGGTACAAATGCTGTTGATGGAGGCTACAGCAGGGTCGACGAGCCCCAGCTCCTCCTGTTCGTTGACGCAGAGCTGATACCCGCAGCCCTTGCGCCGGGGCAGCGGACCCAAGCGCCCACTGGTCTTGGCGCGGGGCGGCAGCAAGAAGCCGACACTGCCAGCGATGAGCAGGTGCCAGATGCTGTGGATGTAGAAGTAGTTCTCTTCTGTCTCCACGAAGGCGTAGAGCAGCACGGCAGCTGCTGCGATCAGCGCTCCAGGGCAGAGGTAGAAAGCCCAGCGCTTCCAGGTCGGGGGGTAGCAGTGGCGGCGACGGATGGTGCGAGCCGTCTGTGGTGGGGAAAGTGGGGACTGGGAGAGGCAGCACCAGCAGAAACAG